CTTCTGGATTTGTCATCAGGGGTTGGACAGGTCACATGACTTAGCAAATACCCAATGACTCACTATGACTCCCTCTGAATATATGACTCACTATGACTCACCTTGCACATATGACTCATTATGACTCTTGATGACTCTTGAATACACTAGTAGCACAGCCACATTTATTGTGTATATAATGACCTCAGTTTTTGAAATAAAAAAAAGCAGATACCAGCAGGTAGTAGGGTGTTTCTCAGCCCAACTAACACTAAGTTGTGAAGTAAGGTGTGATAGGTGTCAGTACCAGTGTCAAGAACTGTTTCAAGACTGAGAGGAACATTCTCAAGAGACAGTAATACTGCAAGCTCATCATACTGAACGACCCGCTGTGAGCTCACTGTGTGCAACAACCAGCAAGCAAGGTACAGCCACACTTTTATTCTGATTTCTATTATTCTTTTTCTTTTCCTTTTACTTTCACTAACCTTTGGCGTTCTTTGTCCAAAAATACTGATCCAAAATATTCGTGTTGTCTCTACGTCCACCTAAGACTCAGTAGTAGCATAGTGGGGAGACTTTAGGAATTGATAGTGAAGCTTGACCTCACTCATCTGAGTAGTGATACTGAGCCAAGATATTCTGTGCCTGCTAGGCTTTAGCCGTTGAAGAGGGGACTTGGTAGTAAACCCAAGGACGTCCGTTCCTGAGTCTGTTTGAATACTCAAAGAAGAGTTCCTTGACAGCAGGTTCAATATTGAGCTAAGAGTTCTACAATAAAGCATTTGACTAGTCTTGACCTTTGATTCTACCTGTTTTGTGCTGAGGGGGTTTATCATTGTAATTCTGCACCATTTCTTTGGAGTATAGTTGGTACGAGGCACTGTTGTTGAAAGGGAACTTGAGGAAGAATCCCGTATATTCTTTTGGTCATTGCCATACTGTCAGGCTGACCATTGTTTGTTTGTTTTCCTGTCAAGTCCAAAGATTGGATTGACCATCGTATTACTGATCTTGCAGAAGTATCCTTAGCTGAACATACTTTGGGTAGTATACAACTAGCCACCCACGAACGACCACGTTATCAGTCATTGGTATTTGTCTGAATCGCTGACCGTGGAGATATTTGTTTTATAGGTGTTTATCTATAGATCATCTATCTAAGAAGACACCGGAAGTTGAGGAGGAGTCCAATGATACTTCCAGTGCTTCGGATGGTGACCCGCCGGCCACTACCACATTTGATATCACCATTCCCGGCCCAGTGAGTACTCAAATATATTCCCTCTAGTCCATCTACTAACGGATACTACAGAACAACCCCTGCCATTATTGTGTCAAGGAAAATTGGCCCTGTGCGACTCGATTGGACAAGAGGTCCAGCCTCCCCTGCTTGTCTTGCATCCGCTGCTCCACCAAGAAGATCAAATGCAACCCTGCATCTCTGGGATCGCCGCCCAAACGGACCCTAGGGAAGTCTACCACCGGCCGGACGCGTTCCAAGACACCTGCCCCTGCTCCATCCAATGCTCCATCTCCCTCCCGGTCAAGGGCCCGAACTCGTAGTCAATCTCGTGGCCCTTCCCGAACTCCGGCCATCCCTGCTGCAACCACACCCCAGGTGCAGTCACGTGGTCGCAGCAAGACCATCACTACCAAGAAGACACCTGCACCTGCACCTGCACCTGCACCTGCACCTGCACCTGCACCTGCACCTGCACCTGTTCCTGCACCTGTCCCTGCACCTGTCCCTGCACCTGCGCCAGCTGGTAAGTCACCCATACTTTTGATGACCGGCTGACCTAATTTTTTACTTAGCAGTCAGGTCTTCCAGCGTCGCAGTGCCTCGTGCAGCACTCGATGTTCCCATGCCGGATCTCCATTCCATGGCAATTGCGATTCGGGATGGTGCAGCTCGCATCGCTATTCTTGAGGCTCAGGTGCAGGAGCAGGACGCTAAGATTGATACCCTGCAACGCCTCCATGAGAGCCTCCGGCGCACAGTGGTCGACCGGCACCCTTCATTTTCACTTCCAGACACACCGGCCGATGGAATAATGTTGCTTGGTCAAGGAGGTCCCTCCCGTCCATGTCACCCCTCCCCTCCGCACTTTCCAACCTCATTGATTTGGACTTTTCAGTCATGCAACCTACACCCTTGACGCCTGAGCATGAATCTGCTGTGGTAGGTCCCATGGTTGAGCCCACCCAAGTTCAGCCTGAGGGTCCACAATCCTCTGGTGAAATTGATCTCCCTGATGAACCAGGCAACCTCCTGCCAGAATCCCCCGGCGATATTGTGGTCCCTAATAAACCAGGTAACCTCCTGCCAGAATATGATTCTTCTGATGAGGAGATGGATGTTGAGGGAAAGGTTGATCTTCCTGGTGAGGAGGTTGACATGGCTACATAATTGCTCAGTGATAGATGTACATAAATGTTTTTCCATGCATGTTACCTATGCCACAATTGAATCATTCAATGATCACTCCCGATATCCAGAACTCGAAACTGCAGATTGAGGTAGATATCACCCAAAACCCGAACACCTGAATGTCAAATTATTAGTGCCGAACCCCGAGTCCCGGGTGCCGGGTACCGAGTCCCGACACCCGGAACTCAGGATTTGACATTTTAGACGAACGACATCTTCCAGACATGTTTAAATCAACCTATGTATATCTGTAAACATTTTACTAACCCCCAAACCCCAAACCGAGATGTACCAACCTCCGAACCCCGAAACCCGAGAGTGCCGGGTCTCGGGTATCGGGTGTCCGGAACTCGGAACTTGGGAGAATTTGGGGAGATCAATACAATTTAATTTACAATCGAGTTGATTGACAACACATTGACTTACCCATGTTTGCAATATATTTTTGTTTAGACATACCGAGTTCCGAGTTCCGGACACCGGAGACCCGAGACCCGAGACTGCCGGGTCTCGGGTGTCCGGAACTCGGAACTGGGGAAAATTTGGGGAGATCAATACAATTTGATTCACAATCAAGTTGATTGACAACACATTGAATTAACTATGTTTGCAATATATTTTTGTTTAGACATACCAAGTTCCGAGTTCCGGACACCCGAGACCCGAGACTGCCGGGTCTCGGGTGTCCGGAACTCGGAACTGGGGAAAATTTGGGGAGATCAATACAATTTGATTCACAATCAAGTTGATTGACAACACATTGAATTAACTATGTTTGCAATATATTTTTGTTTAGACATACCAAGTTCCGAGACCCGAGACTGCCGGGTCTCAGGTCTCGGGTGTCCGGAACTCGGAACTTGGTATGTCTAAACAAAAATATATTGCAAACATAGTTAATTCAATGTGTTGTCAATCAACTTGATTGTGAATCAAATTGTATTGATCTCCCCAAATTTTCCCCAGTTCCGAGTTCCGGACACCCGAGACCCGGCAGTCTCGGGTAACTCGGAACTCGGTATGTCTAAACAAAAATATATTGCAAACATGGGTAAGTCAATGTGTTGTCAATCAACTCGATTGTAAATTAAATTGTATTGATCTCCCCAAATTCTCCCAAGTTCCGAGTTCCGGACACCCGATACCCGAGACCCGGCACTCTCAGGTTTCGGGGTTCGGGGGTTGGTACATCTCGGTTTGGGGTTTGGCACTGAAAATTTGACATATATATTTTTGTGAGTGTTGTGCTTCTGGTGTCCATGCTTAGAAATAGGATTTGTTGCACACCAGGGTTCAGGTGTGGGGTTTTTCCACTTCAGTCCTGGATTATTGGTCAATGCCACACATGATAGATTCATGTTTTTGTGCTTAGGGGTTTAGATTTGGTGGTTGATGGTAGGTATATGCACTGATAGTGTACATGTATCCTATGTGTTTGATTCGCCGGTGGCTACATCAGCTGTATGTCTTGATGGAACATATCTAGGCTCACCCATATATGTAATACACCCCCGTCGGCCCGCCCGTCTATGTATTATCCCCCACGTCGGCCGACCCGTCTATGTGATACATCCTATGTTGGCCCACCCGTCTATATAATACATCCTACATCGGCCCACCCGTCTATATAATTATACCCCACCTCGGCCCACCTGTCTATGTAATAAATATTTTATAGCACCCTCGGCCCACCGGTCTATTTGATATCTCTTTCGTCGGCCCACCCATATATGTAATACATTCCACGTCGGCCCACCTGTATATGTAATACACCCTACGTCAGCCCACCCGTCTATGTAATATTCCCCTACCTCGGCCCACCCATATATGTAATACACCCACGTTGGCCTGCCCGTCTATATAACAATATTTGCCTTACATCTCTCTTCAGCCCAGCTGTCTATAATATCCTACTCTACATATTACCCAGATGGGCCCACCCATCTCCATGAATGATCATATTCCCCCGGCCCATCCGTCAACATTAAGTATATATATATCATTGGCATACATGGGCCCACCCGTCTCCATCGGAAATAATATGAGTCCCGGCCCATCCGTCATCATCGAGAATATACACAACATGGGCCCATGATCAGCTGGCCCGTCTCATACGGGATATTATGGAGGTCGGGTGGCCCGTATAATACGGAATTTGTCACTGAAGGGGCTCCTCTAACTTGACGTCACGAAGCTCCGCCACACTCCAGGGTTGTTTCTATGTAATATTGAAATTTTTTATAACTCCTTACAGGACAGTCTAAAGTGCTTGACAGCTCCAAGCTCCTCATCAATTGTAACATGATCTGGCTGGTACCACCTAATCTTACTTACGCTGGTGAGTGGAACCAGATTACTAGTTAGATCTATCATTGATATGAAATACTGTTCTCAAAATATGTTTAAACTATGGAGTGGAGAAATGAAACAATCGACCTGATTCACCTTTCCATCACAAGAGCCTGGATAACCACATTTCGCCATATCCTATACCAGTACTGACTCAGACTCACACCCATCTGGCTTGACCGATGCTGAAGCTCTCCTCATAGTTGCTAGACTTGAGGAGTTGTGTGAAGGTGACACTATGACATCCAGCATTCCACATAGCCATGATTTTGAGCCATGCCTCAGTGGCCAAGCGCATGGCCAAGGTGCCCCTGTATACAGCTGTGGGTGCTACCGTCACATGAAAGTTGAACCTACACTTGCACTCGCAGATGCACTTGCAGATGTATCTGAACACCAGGGACTTAAAAGGGTACAATGGCCACCTCAAGATATTATACACTCGGTTCTAATGGTTATTGTTCCAGGATGTCAATAGTTCGAACACACAAATTGGAGGCCGTAGTGGTGACTCAGAAATTTGGCCCCTGAAGCGCAAGAGGTCAAAGACAGCCTCTGAGTCTGACCCCATGGTGAGCTTGACTCATCATTTCGTTTTTCACATCAGTTGTTAATGGCTATATTGATGTAGACACCACATCACTTTGGGCGAAACCTGAGCAATGTCCAACACGCTCAATCAGTACCAGCACTTGAAGTGCCAAAGTGTAGGAAGCTGGGAAAGGCCTTCGAATTGAATAGAAGCATGACCCATGAAACCTCAGAACTTAGTGTTGTGAAATGCCTTGAAGCTGCCATTGACAGGCAAACAGAGGTGCTGTCCAAGATTTATCGCATTCTGGAGGGCAGTGCCAAGTAAACTTATCATTTATGATACCTTCTGTTGTAAACCTATACTATCATGATGTATATTCAAGCCTGATGGAAAGCATTTCACACAAGATTATGTACTAGTAGACTGCTATTGAAAAAATCCATTGCTCCAAATACCTGCAGCTTTGGCTTGACGTTGCATCAAAGCTTATCTCCTTTCATCACTCACTAGGCCACCGTTGGTTTAGTTTAACTTGAAACTCAGGCTGATGCTTCTGTTCTTCATGCAGTTATGATATGGTTGGATCTACAGGTGCAGGGTTGGCATCTCACATGCGACTCTGTTTGTTTGAGCTTTATGAGGTCACCGGCATTACACAAAACAACCACACTATGCATTCTGGTTGCAGAAGAATCAAGACTGACCATTAGGTCATCATGCATTATGGCTTATCCACATAACAAGTTGTGGGTCCATTACTATTGACGAAGATTAGTACTGCTGAAGAAATGTAATTGAATTTCTCAGGCTACGATTTGCACAGATTGATTACCAGTCCTAAATAGTGCCAAATGCCCTGCTGTACCTAGCACAGGCTACCTCTATGCACTCCATATCCTGCTTTGCGTAGTCCAGGACTGTGCAATCAATACGCAGGAATGAAATCGACAAATGGAGCATAGCTTCGTGACCAGGCGAGCAGAATAGTAAGTTGGTTTGACAAAATTAAGTAATCTCAGGCAATAATATAGTGAATGAACTTTGGCTTGGCGCGACTTGGGTTGCAGCCGCTGCACCGCCACACTGGCCGAGTGTTCAAACCTTCATGTCAGTGCCAGCGCTTCCCATCGAACTTGAGAGAGAGATCATCACTCTTGCTATTGATTGCATGCAGCAAGCTTACTCATTCTTGTTTGTTTCACGGAGGGTGCATTACTGGTGAGCAATTCCGAAGGGTTGAGGCAGAGCACAATGATACTGAATACTGCTGTAGGATCAAAAGGCTACTTTACCGAAAAATTGTTCTGTCAAGTGAAAGCATTGCTATCTCCTTTCTTTCATCACTTTATATTCGGTCCTGTCACTGTGACTTCACTTGAGGGGCAGTGAAATCATTGTGTATCGAGGGTGATGTATTTCTGAGTACAGCCACAGAGATCATTTCCCTGTGCAATGGTACCACCAATCTTGCATTATGGATCGCACCATCGGACTTTAAGAATGAAACAACAAATCCTCTGCTACAGCCCTTAGATGACCTCCCACTAATATTGTTATCACTTAGTATATCTCTGATTTTCCGTTACACCCAGTTGGTCTCCCTTTCTGCTTTCAAAGCCTTCAGTACCATGACACACCTTGAAATTCTCAACGGCTGGGTGCTATGGAACTCTACAGTTGATCTGGAGTATCTTCATGGACTGGCGCACTTGTGTTTACATATCCATACACAGAGGACTAAACCAAAATTGGTGGTGTCCCTTCTCACTCTGCCACACCTCCAAGTAGTTGTCTTCCACATCTCAGAAGATATCAATACAGTCGAAACATTCCTGGAATCTAGTTCCCTTAGTGACCCTTGCATCGTGCTGGCATCTCAAGTTCCCACTGCCTGGGGTGAATTTGGAGGTGGCGACATGTCTCTCTGGAAGGGCACTGATCAAGTAGTAGATTTGAGGCGCACCCAAGGCATGTCTTTTTATCCTGAAAATCCACTATGACCAGCTAATGCCTTCAATAGGAGGGCCTTTTAGCATACCGTCATCTGACATTTTGCATTGCTGAGTACCTCTGGGTCAGTTCTGTATTGTGATACATACTTTGTGGCTCTATAGATAATCATCTTCAGAGCGATGTATGGACTTTGATGTGCTACCTCAGAGTAGGGGATGCATTTACTTTTTTCCACAAGGATCTATGTACATATTCTGACCAAAAATCTTATTTGTCATACTGAGAATGGCGGGTCATCTTTTTGGTTCGTGACAGAGTTCAGTCGCACCAGTCACGGCAGAAGAAGATTAGACCAGGTCTGGCAAGGAGAAGCGAATGCGCAGCATCAAGAGACGGCGACCTCGAGTTCATTCATTACATGCCCATCTGCCACCTCCTGTACTCAAGTTCATGTTCATTGTGCTCCAAGTTTAGTATCATTAATTGTATGTAGCATTACACTTGAGACTTATACATGATGCTAAACTACATCTTATAGTAAACAGTACATCCTATGCAATGTCTCAAGGATCTGGGTATGTGTAATGATTTGTGTTCTCCTGTCTCTCGCCAAAGACATCTACTCCACCATGTACTAGATGTACTGTGGCAGATGATGACTCCGGGGCTGCTGAAAATAAAGGTTTGCCTTCTATACAGGCATTGAACAACGCTAAATTCTCACCTAGTATTGTTTCCAGCCGCTTTCCACGTTACGATCCAAAACTAGTGCTCTGATGTGAATCGCCAGCTTCATCAAGATAACTGATGATGTGAATGAAGAAGTCCATGACCATAAGGGGACAGAGGCCGTGAAAAATGGTAAGGCATTCAGGTGAAATGATTTCTATAAAAAAAAAGCCTGACTCCCAGTGATGTCAGTGGATGGAGAAATGTTTCAGTCCAACCGCATTGTGGCTCTGCCTTATCGAGTTTGGCCAGAAAATCACTGATAGAAGGATAAAAGATGCGGGGGTCAGTCTCAAGCTCCAAGTTGGTAAGTATAGATGACATGGAGTTGGCATTTTGGGGGCTATACAGAGGCCTTTAGCAGGGGTATTTTTACTTCATTCAAATGGTCTCAATTTGATTCAATGATGTTCTGACATTTGTTGTAGGGGCTTTCAAATCTGGTTTGCCCACCAGCGCAAATAGTGAACAAAGACCTGGCCGTACATTTGTTTTAGTCTCTATTTCATCCAGGTAGTTATAATCTGGTTTGGTTTGGTGTCCCCACCTCTCATTGGTTTAGTGTCCCCGCTCTTCCATTTTATTCAAGATTTTTTTTTCTTGTTCCACCCTTACTACTCCAGTTGACCACAATGTTTTATGTAATCACCGTGAGCACATTAACTTGATTAGGCTGCAGTCATCTTTAATCTAATTGTGTTGATCAATAGGATCACCTGGAGCAAACTCTACTAGTCAATCACAGACTCAACATGTACGCAATGCACTGTCCATGGAGATATGAAGAATGTATGGAGCCGAAACTCAAAAGGTGTCGGATCTTTGCTATATATGACATTGTGATTGGTACATGTCATGAAACTAGCTGTTTTGAGGTCCATGCTTCATGTTTCCTCAGCTAAATTGACTTACATGCCCACTTCCAAATTCCCACTCAACATTCTTATCTGTGGGCAATGGCATCCTCATCCCAATCTCAATCTGAATCAGACAACAGCAACATTCAACCTCTAGTCACTCTTAAAAGATGAATTACTGCACTTGAGGAAGAAAATGCAGACCTTCAAGTCCGTCGGCTCCCTGGGAAGAAATAGTATGTCTAATATTTAAAAATACGGTACAACAGATTGATAATGCGATCAAAACAGTGAATCAAATGTATATTATGGCCGAGCAATTCGAAGGCTCATGTGCCTAACCGAGCACGTTGAAGATCTAGTGGTAGAATTTGATAGGCACATTGGACTGGGCGCTGCCAATGAATCTGATGCTGATATAATGGACTCAGATAACCCAGAGTAAGTGTTTTCCCGAATCTTACTGGTTAACTCTCAGGTTGTGTTTCAGAGAGAATAGACAGTATTGCTCCTTCAAGAAACTTATGACATGGTGTCCCTCAGTTCGTAAGTTGCTACAGTCATCTGCCAAGCATGAAACTCTTGCTTTTGCATATAGTAAGGTGAGATTCTCCAAAACAAATCACTGATGAATCATCACTGTATCTTGCATCCAGCTGAATGAAAGCTCTGATGGGGCCAGAGGAGACGACTCTGCTGGTCTCAAGCGTGCTGTCGCTGATTGGCTAATGGAACGTACCCCCACGCCAAATCCCCCCATTCACAAGCAAAACAAATCTGGTCGAGGATTTTACCATGACGTGATGGGCGAACTCTTGTGCCCAGTTGATTATACAGTAACTGGAGCAATCCAATGTAAGTGCTCTTTTATGAGCTGCGCCACAGATAACTTATACCTTCAAAGTGTTTGAGTATCCATTCGAGACTACCATCCCGATTTTCACATCACTGCTTGCTCTTGGCCTTTGTTCCTGTACAAGGATGGATGTTACAACCCCCAGAACCCTACAAAGGATCTGTTTAAAGGTGAGCTACTAGTCAAGGTGAGATTAATATGTGTGACAGAAGTTATACCGAATGTTGTCTGCAGGTATTTAAACGTGTATTCACCTCTCCGAGTTCCACAGATGAGGAACAAGTGTTGACTCAATGGGTCGTTCCGCACTTGGCAGGAACAGTGGCAAGTGTCGCACTTGGTGTGACATTTCAACACTAGTCAATATGCGATCTATCCAACCTCAAGCCATAGCTTACATATCTGTTCAGGTATCAGACTACTTGATTCAAAGTATCCATGTTTTGCTGATTAGAGGGTTTAGCTAAGATTTGCGTTGTCAAGCTCAGGATCTTGGCGCGTCGTTGATGACGAATTCAACAATCAAGAGTTTTATGATAACATAGTTGACTATCTTGAATTTCCTCCAACACCTGAAGCAGCGAAAGAAGTGGATGATCTCTTACTTTGGTGGAATAGGTGAGTAGCCTTGGTGTCTTTACACTGCCTTCCATTGATGCATTGACACATTGGGATTCCATTTTTTAGAAAAGTTTTTGGTCAAAAACATGTTTCTGACTATCGCCCGCAGCAGGCAAACCACATGTCAGTTGCCATGACTTTGGCCAAGTGACGTTGCCCATAGCTTAGTTGGGTTGGAACCTACTAGTACTTAAGTGGGAGTTCCTTGTATTAAACTTTATATTGTACAATTTCAGCTATGTTGTATAATGATCAATTTTGGCCACAACATCGTGCCGAGTGAGATCCGAGTAGTGCGATCAGGATTCAGTGCTCAGCAATGACATTAAGACCCTTTTCTGCGCAAATGTTGAATGATAGATAATTTGTTTAATCATTCTGCACCACCATATGGTTGAGACGAGTGGTTCACTTTCTTCACCCATCTAGTATTTAGCAGCCAACACGAATATGACACTTATGTGACTTCAGGTAACGAGTTGTGCGTGGTGTTGCAGTATTGAACATTGGTCGTGCTTGTGTCAAGAACGGTGTTGCAAGTGGTCAGGGACACATCCACCTGACTTGCAAGCTCTGGTAGCGCATACTGCGCTGATACATGTGGGCCACCAGCTCAATAATGACAATTTTGTCTCTAAGCACCTCATTTCGCAATGCAAGTCACATCAATATATTAGAACTTTAGAATAATATAGTGTGTCTGCTCGTACCAATCCTGCAAGTATCTGCCTACAAAATCATTATGTAGATTGGCCACAAAGGCTACGTGTTTAAAGTCATATATGGTCTCTAATACAGTTCCTGTTGCTTAATGTCTGACTCCCAGTTGTGTAGTTTTAAGACAGTGTATTGCACAAAAAGAATTATAATTTCTTCACTTACATGCCATACTTGGTGGTCCCACAAATATGTATTATTATTATTTAAATTGGTCAAGGAGGCTACATGTTTAAAGGTAGATATGACATTATATAACCGCTTGCCATATTTTACCTGATTGCAGACATTATGACCATTATAAGGTGGATATAACGGTTGGTAACATATCTTGATTTTCAGTGATGACATTGAGCCCCAGCGCTTATCACGAGTGCCAGGCCATGCAGGCTATATATGGCTATTCATGCCCCTCCATAGGCTTGGGACCAGCCTGGCTTATATAACCACAGACAAGTCAAGTGGCATAGCCAGGCTGGTTGATCTCAGAGAGATTTGACAGGTGAAGCATGGAGTTTCAATTTAGCAGGTGCCAGTCATGCCAGTTGAAGTAATAACACTACATAGTTACTATCAACTATCAATCACTCAGAAACTTTTATTCGCGCACGGCATAGAGTACTGCATTGCCAAAACTTCCTTTGAACATGCGCTGCATGGAAGATCATACAAATACTGCCCAATAGGCAACACTCATGTACACTCCAGAGTCTTGTCATGAGGAGTGTCATGATTAATTGTGATCGTGTTTGTAAAGTCCATTGGAAGGTTTTTGAGAGCATTCAAAGCTGATATAGACATAGGCAAATATTGAAACTCATGGTCATAACATAGAGATGTAGCAAAACAGTAGTGTCTGTACAATGTCTGAATGCATTATGTACGACAACACCCGGCACAACCGGCACCTGCTAAAATTCGAACTCCGTGCTTCGCCTGCCAAATTTCTCCGAGATCACGTCAAAAATTCTCCACTCTCATGTGACGTACGTCAGACTGGTCACGAGTCTAGCCCCTCAGCGCAGTACGCAATCGCCTGGGTCGTCATTACAATCACGGTCTTTGTTTTATTCCCTGACGGTGATGGTAGCTTTGGTATCTCCTGCATGTCCATTTCAGATGCCGGTATCGACGATATTGCACATGTTGCGCATTGACAGTAAAATTATTTTCCATTTCCAGCCTGGGTCAAAATCGCAAAGGTCCTACGTCCATGGTCGTTTTGACCTCCTGGTATCTTCAGCGGCTGGTAGAGCCGGTACACGGCAAGTTCCGTTTTCTTGAGCACAAACTTTGACCGTTTCTTGGAGTGCTGCAATCGGGGTTAGATGTGATCTGCTCCTTAGATGAAAATGGCAGACCTTCTGAGTCGAAGTGACCGTCATATATATCGTCACTCGAGGTGGCACGTGGCGCTATAATATCATATTCAGTGCAGGCGCTTGATCTCTCGCCAAGGAAGGCTACCAATGGGTCCGATAGGCCGTCATCGCAAAGTCTCCCGTAGAAGTGATTCAACGTATGGTAGTGACGCTGTCTTCGAAAGTAGGTAAGCGATCCCACCCAACCACTGAGTCGATTTCTACTTGTGCGCGTTTTTGAACATTTGGTAAGACACCATGGCGAGAGCAAAAACCATCAAGACTGAAATAATCTGTAAGAAACTTCAGCAGTTGACAAGCTGGGTCGGATATCGGCTAACCGTCTCGTATGAACCTGAATAGATATGTATCAATGAAGTATACCATCCCTTGTAAAAAGATTACGAACCCAGAATAGCAGTAGTAGCTGCTTTCTTTAAGGTACCCTCAAACAATGGTCTGGATGTCTGATCTTGCTTCTCGATTCGTTGGAGATTTTCTGCTACCATCGAAAACTGACCAAGGGAAGTTTTCGGCCTTGACGACCATGTGATTGATAGCTAGAATGAACTAATATCTTTCAAAACGAAAGATGCCCACCATATGCTCCTGTGCACATTGAAACGGCACGTCGGTCATTTCTCTCGTGCAATTGACCGAAGTGTGAGAGCATCGCGTTTGATTGAAGATCCCTAGCACCAGTCAGGTAACTTCAGTACTGCGTCAGAGTACAGAGTGTCAGCTATTTTCACGAGAAAAATAGCTTAGCTCACAGAAGGGAAAATTTTTGAGCAAAATTGCTCTCTAGGGATTCGAACCAGAGGATCATCACGAGGACTAGTTTGGCGGCCGTATGTCGTTGATATCGTAATTGATGTCGAGAATCCAGGTTAGTAGTTTACAAACACATAGACTGACGTTGCAAAGTGACAATGAGGGTCATTAATTAGATTGATCATCTCATGCGCGCGCTTGATCTGCATTGGACGAAACTTGGGTGCAGAGTCAGGACGGAAAGTTTGGTGCAAGAGTCGTCGGCAACGACGCCATTCATCACCATAGCCTGCAAACGCAAAAATGACCGACCAACCAAACCTGCCTATAATCTATAATGATTAAATGGAACAATGTTAGAAGAACGCGCAGCTCGAGTGCGGCTAGGTTAGAGCAGTGCGTGGGTACGTATAGATACCAAAGGCGCAAAACAGACATTGAGTTATAACTGCACGAAAAGCGCCAGGAGCTTATTATGTCGTGTGGCACGGGGCATGACGGGGAGGATGACTAAGCGCACGTAGGCTTGGCGCTGACCCCAAATAGCGCGCGCTCGTCGTGGTCGGCGACGTGTGGAGTTCTGTGGGCAGTGAGGAACCCGGCGGGAAGGGAGATGAGGGCGGGGGTGCCTAAAATAGACAGCCGAGTAATATATTATCGGGTTGGACAAGCGATAAACGCCTGCCGTCATCGTGACCCAGCTCCATTTGCCCCCTGATACTATATCATAACGATTGGTAAAAGCCCAAACGACGCAGAGCAACCTTCTCCGGCAGTGAAAAAACCGCGTTTCTCAGGCCATTAACTAGGATCTGTCACCCAAGTGAAGTAACAAACGTTTCATGCACGATGAAGACGCAAGATTGTGCATTCAGTATGTTACAGCTAACAATCTATTATAAAGGAGAAATCAGCGGGGAAGGGCAGGTTGCAAATGTAATCTTGCCTTAACTCGAAAGTTCAGACCTTGGTGGGCTGTGTCTGGGACTGCTGTAGTTTAGCCTGCATTACATTAATGAGGTAGCTCATATTCTCCTGCTTCTTTTGTATCGTTTCTTGTAGCGTATCGAGATTAGTGCGAATATATTCCACTTTTGTTTCATAATATTTGGTGGCCTGTGCCCGAGACTGTACGGTCATCTAATCAGCGGTGGCCTGTAACATAAGATCTCACACATGCCTTCTTCACGTAATATCCTGTACCGACGTCGACGATCACATTCTCCGCATCACTTAAGTGACCAGGCACATATAGGGAGTTGGTCAAAGGAACAAGGATAGTCGTTCCTGCACAGATAGAATTAAGTTAGAGCCTGAAGATGAAAATTCCGGTGTACCTTTGTTTTGAGGTTTAATTTCTCTGACATTCTCAATGCATGACTTAAACTTCGCTTGTGCCTGCTTCAGCTGAGCGAATGAGTTTGTGAGGTGGTTCAATTCCTACAACACAATCAGAGACGCAGAAAAACAGTGATATCATTAAAGTACCTCCTCTAGCTGACGGCGCACATCAGATAGCTGTTGGAGGTCGAGATCAGCAACATTGATTTGTTGAGGCTGCGACGAAGTGGTTGAAGCCATCGCTGGATTGAGCGTGACAAGAGTGTGACCGATGGTCCCTTCAGCCGTGACATTAATAGTGTGAGACAATGCGAGACTCTAAATGGTTGCTGCCTGCAGTAGCCTGTGCATGCGGCTGCAACCATGTCCATCGATGCCATCGACTCAAGAGGAAGAATACCTCAGGATATAGGTCTGTTATTAAGTCTAAAGCCGCAAGAGTTCAACTGATACCCCGCTGTCCAGTTGCTATCTTCCACGCTTCGTTTCACCCAACGAAGGGTAATCTAGTGGACTGGTGTTTGAAGGCCAGCGATGGTCTGTTTGCAGTTTTCATATCGGTTAGCGACTTAAATGTGCTTCAGACCTTGAGCTCGATGGTGTTGAATTTAGCACCCTCCCCAGTGGTCTCCATCTTGTAGACCAGGATGTGGTGTATGTGCCCTGCACCCATACCACAGCTCTACTTATCAGAATTTAATAGATACTTCACGAAGGATGCCCATTCCGGCATATGTGTTTTCCGTCGGCGGAGGACCGCTGAACAAGGCCACCGCGGGTTCCGGCTGACGTCTCTTGGAATTCTATTGGCCAAATCTACCCGGTCTCGTCCATGGCGGCATGTCGCTGCCCTTCGGACTTTAGCTGACTCCATCTATCTCTCGTTAGAAACCAGAGGTGTTTTAGAGCCATCTGAAAGCGATTGGGAACCCGCTCGTATTTTTTTCGAAGAACGCAAGGTTCGACGAGCAGATCTCAGTGGTGCTGGCAAATGGTATGGTTGGAGTCATGAACTTGATAATGTGCGATGCAGCATGAGCGTTACCTTATGTTTCTCTGACCCCAATATACAGCCGGATTCAGAATTTAATCCTACCATCCACCTCTCACACTTGTTGCGCATCCTAGGACCTTCGGCATTGACGTTGTACAAGCATGTCCTTGGGCGTCAGAGGATACTTATATATACGCTCCCGCCGGTTGAAGCCGCATGCATACTGTGCCAAGTGGCCGCAGATATCTGTTACGCAGCTCAACTTGACCCATCAACTAATGACATCAATGAAAATGACCCGGCGACGCAGTATTATACGAGGCTTAAGGGTAAAACACAAGAGGCTATTCATGTGCTTGGCATGGTTACTCTCAATGACCTTGACAAGATGGATCGCGAGGGCAAAACTGGTCGAGGTTGGGTTGCTTGTAAGTGATGATAATATAGCTCTAGGCGTGCCCCTCATTCTTGTTTGAAAGGCACGACTGATGCCATTTTTCTGGACAAACCATCTTACTACGACCTTTTGATCGATCTAACGACATCTACACCCTCCAAAACTTCACGACCGACCTTATACCTCTCAAAGCCGCAGCCGCAGCCACCTGGTTCTAAAGGGCCCACACATCGTTTAGCCATTTTTCGTTTCACGTGGAGTGATATAAGGCTGGTACATATATTTGCAGTCATGTCTCCGTATACGTGTTGAACACACCTGACAGTGGAACGAGCTTGAACGCATTCTGCAGCTGGATGGCGATCAATGTGCACAGCCATGCTGCCGCCCCTCATCTGAAATCAATGCCAGAAATAAACCCTCATCTTCGTGGACAGACCCTTGGAGAATATATGAAGATGTGTGTATTGTATGTGCTGGGCTCTGGATGGGGTCCTGGCGTGGCAACTCAGTTGCGTCCTATTCCACTGGCAACGGATCCCTCGCCAACTGGGGCAGCATCAGATTAGAAGGTGACGATGATCTTACCGTTGACGGAACATTTGTGCGTAACCTGGGTATGGGGATTGAAGGGTGTCCTGGTGGAAGCCCAAACTCAAAGGGAATGAGAAGGACCAGCGGCATGACTTGGCCGGTTGGAAATACTGGCTTTGACCGTCGCCAGCCTTCGTCATCTTCCGCTGCTACGCGATCTATGCCACAGTTATGCAATAATGGTAATGACACAGATCCAGAAACCAACGAACGACATGATCGTCAGATTCTAACGACACTCGCCCTACTTCAAACATTTCACGCCAACACCAGCTTCCAACTCTCTCGCCTAGTTGATCTACTTCCTTCTGTCACCTCCGGTACACCAGAGACTTCGGTGATTTACATTACTCCAAAAGATATGATATCATTCGAGCTTGGCCCTCTAAGCTCTCTTGATGCCCGTTACCTAGAGTGGTTAGCTGACGAGTATGGTGCAGGGTCGCAGATAGTAGTGAAGAGGGGATGGAAGGATTTGTTTGGAATGATATTTGGCTTTGGTTGACTAACATCGACTCTCGCTGAGAAGACGCGGTGTTTTATATTTATCATTTTGCTTTGTTGGCGGCTTGATGCCCAACAGAAATGTAGTGCTAGACCCTATTAGACCAGTCCACTGCCTTGAGGCTTCATTAACATTAATTACTTATGCAGTCACTAAACTCCACAGTGTGCTGACTAAGTACAAGTCATGCCACGGCCGCACTAGAATTCCGAGCTGTATCTGTCCCACGACCGGCCAACAGCCTACATCAAAAGCTATCCTCTTCTTCTTTGTAATAATCATCTAGTCGCAAAGTGAATGGCAGAGAGCAAGGTAAGCTCAACGAGATTGCTGAGCATCTCCTCACCTTTTGTCACTGTGGCATATTGCAGGGTCCTACAACTACCGGCGGTTCAGTGAACAAGCTCGCCATGTCTCGAGCGCTCGGGGCTGCATTTCTAAGCCATCAAGTCGAACAGCTGGAAAAATCGGTTACACGTGGGCCAGCATCTGGAAACTGGAGAGACCGTCGTCATCCGCAAGCCGACTTGGGTAATACCAACCGTCGCGGTGTTATCAATCATACACCCAAGCAGCGCCCATCTTCAGGCAATAGGTCTGCGAAGAAGTCTGTCGCTGAAGCTGTACCTGAAAGAGAGCACAGTGAAGCCAGGGTGCAAAAGCCCAGGAAATCGAGCCAGGAGGCCAGGGGTGACAAGGATGCAGATATAGTAGTGGTCGATGCGAGCGTATTGGTACACGCCCTCCACCAGGTGAAGAAATGGTGCAGAGATGGACGTGATGAAATCGTTATTGTACCCCTTGAAGGTCAGTCGAGACGTTAGAAATGTTTTGTCGTCTGACGTGAGGTGGCTTAGCCTTGAATACTCTTGATTTACTCAAGAAGGGAACGAGTCCTCTCGCCCAGCGCGCGCGGTCAGCTTCACGAATTTTAGAGGCTCAAGTTGGCACAAATCCTCGTATCCGTGTCCAGCGGGATGATGCCTTCGTTCCGTGGGACCGCATCGAGTTCAAGGACATGTCACCTGATGATGCTAAGGACAAAGCTATGTTACAGTCGCTGCACCTCTCTGGTTCTCCAGAGTGGGTTCGGCGCATGATTTGTTGCGCCCGTTGGGAAGTTGATCACGTCTCTGAAACTCGTGCTTCAACGAGCGACAAACTGAAAGTCGTTCTTGCTATCCTTTCCCCTTCTGCTACTCCAGTTCAGGTCTGTCGAACTGATGCAATGCCCGAAGTATCATCTCCGGTACCCCTTCCAGCTCCAAGTCCACACACTCATAAATACGAGCCTCGTTCAGCTGGCCTGTTGATTGGACACTGGGCTACCCGGGCTGGTATCACTCTCTTAGAAGTGGAACCTTCCGCAGCACCACTCGTTCCACCTTCATCGAACCATCCTCGTAATCTTGATGATGACGATAGAGGAAAACGACAGGCCGGTCGAGGCAGACGTAATTCCCATACCGCTCAGGGGGGTCTTCCTGTCGCTCGAGGCACCGGGCTAGTGGAGCGCCCTGCTGCCGTTATGCAAATGATGGAAGTGATCTCTCAGCCTAGCAAGGTCGTCCGCGTTCTTGCTCGAGGCGAGAAACTAGAACCAGACCCATAATCCTGATTATGCGGCATCTTTGAGTACAAGGTGTGTTCAGTTTAACTTATGGATGTTGACTACTGACCAATACAGCCGAGATATAACTGTTCCTCGGTTCCAAGGCTGTTCCAGCTCCGTCTCGATCAACGACGTCATGGAAAGTATTGGAAGCCTCACAGATCACGCATATTCGCTCTGCCTCTCATTCCTCAGAGCATGGATTCTGCAGGAAATGTTTCCAGGCATCTTTGTGTGGTCTCTTTGCTTCGAGTGTGCGGTCCTTATGAAGGTCTAACCACAGCAGTTACGGAACGAGTGTTCATGATAACTTTTTACTGGTTCCTATCATCCTACAAACACTTTGTTTCACTGTCTGCGGACTATCCGATGTGCCCCTACTGTGTATGTTCTATGTCCTTATGGTCCCATTTCTCGAAATAAACTATATATTCATTTCCGTGGCGGTTTGATTCGACATCTGTTCTTTCTGACTGGTTGCCAGGGGTGGAAGATAGTTCTTTCAACCCTACTGGAGGTTCACATCTATTCGCATCTCACCGTCTACAGTGGTCCACCAGTTATAGTCCTTTATTTCTGAAGCCTTTGGCCAAACATATAGTCAATGGTGACATATGTGGTGGGAACTATGATGACATGGGGCCATGGTTAATACACAATTAGCCAATAAACATAATTGTTATACGCTTTTATTTATCACCGGAGTCACCTCGTATTGGTCCTGCGTTTGTTGTTCGCCCATGTAAGTGGGACATCACTCACACTCATCACGGCTTGGTTCACCACCGCGTTCAAATCGTTCTCGTACGACGCCAATATTCTTGCGCTTATCAGAATTTTGCTCATTGAAAACCGGCTCAGGGCGCGTCCAGTAACCGGATCATTATTTCAGTAAATAAATGAGACAGGTTCCGTGTTCTATATATATACATATGGAAAGCCGGACGCGCGCGCTCATTATTAAGCGTCACACATCCATAATAGGCAGTAGGACCCTGTGTACTCCTAGTTTAAATTGTCCAAGAACAAGAGGTGTAGGTAACTAGATATATACACGACGAAGAAAAATCACCATCCATCTACCATTTCATCGTCACTTTCGCAATCCGAGAACTCCCAAACCACCAAACCAGCGTGATCAAGACCGACCAAGCTTTCGTCAATCCCTGTTGTGATATCCGGCTCATCACTGTGTGAGAGAACATCTAGTTGACGACAGTGTTCAGTGTCTAGCAAATACATCAGTGTTTAGACTGTCAGGATTGGAGACGACAAACCAAGGCCAAGTCCTCCGCCCACACCACCCATATAATAGGCGCCATTGGGATCCTCGCGAGAAGGTAAGTCTTGATAGTCATCTAAAAGTGGAACAAAATCTTCATCTTCATCATCCTGCAGCTGAATTTCGCCTGGTAACTTGTCAGCGAGCTGGAGGGCATCTAGCAGAAGCCGATATGTGTCCCAGACTGATTGTCGTGTGATAACTGGGCGACCGAGATCATTGTAGCAATGCTGGATGCATTTGCCGAAACCCTCTGGGACCAGGTCAAACACGCAATGAGAGGGCTTGATGTAAAGACTTCAGACGAAGTCTAGGGCCTCGGGTTCGATTTGAATCTATGATAGTACCAATATTAGAGTACTATTGCCAGTACAACAACCAAATTGATGTAGCACGTACCTTGAAATCCAATGCTCCAAAATCTTCAGCTGAATGGTAGATAAGATTGGGTACTCCATGAGGAAGAATCTGGATGGCGTGTCAATGCTTATTGAGAGTAAAACCACAGGCACGTACTTTGTTGCGGTTGTGCCGCTTGGCAGTATTGTTAATACGATCCTGATATGCATCGAGCTCCTGCTGAAGCCACGGTATGAAAACCCAACGGAAAACCATCCTGCAAACAAATATGACAACTAACACTCAAACAGAAGAAAAATGACGCACACTTGAAGGGTATTATTTGAATCATACCAACCAGAATTGACGCCATGATCAAGAAGATTCTCGAATCCAGGTGTGAACCGCCGGCGCAGTTGAGACCATGCGATCTCTGGCATAACATTCTTCTTCGTTCGCATCCAACGATGCTGGAGCGTACCATGTAAAGCTTTGTCATGATACTGTCGCAGCATGGTATGCGCGTTTGCAATCCCATAGTTTTCGGACCCCGGATCACTTTGAGTGACCATTGGCATATCTAAAATTTAAGTCAAACTTAGTATGTTTGTGCTTTAAAATGTGAAACACTTACGACCGAGAGCCTCGATTGTGTTAAGGTAGTAACTCAGAATGAGCTGCGGATTTCGGTTGGAATGCCAGACCCGAATCCACATTATACGACCAGAGAAAGGCTCAATGCCAGTATGCAGCCCAAGACCGAATCTGAGCCACTTGTCATGCTGATCGACTGCGAATAAATCATTCACGCCAGCTGCCCAGAAGCGTCTCCTTCGAAGGCGACAAGCCTTGCGCTGACGAACAAGTTCCGGTTCATACAAAGCAAAGTACTCTGTCACAACCCTCCTAGGATGCGAAACTCGTAGGTCAGTAAAATTGGTCCTCACAATGTAAAGATAACTCACCTAGCAACACTCATTTCCCGTTCATGGTATAGTAAACTCACCATTTCACGTGCACCAGCATTCGGATATGTAGCACGTAAATCGAGCATTGCATCACGAATGGTTTCGACTGTGTGACGCTGTTGACGGGTACGTTGAAGACCCATCGTCTTTCGAACTTTCAAAAGTGTGGTAAGCCTAGTGTATAATTATTTAACACTTAAATAACTAGATTTAAACACTACTCACCCGATACCGTAGCGAGTCGTGTCGATGTGTTTTTGCAATTCCTGGATAATCTGCCGATCGGTCTGGCGGGCCTTCCAGAGGCGAAGGATATGAGGTGCGATTTCGTCCAGCGGGGCTGCTTAGAGTGTTCAGATGCCTAGTGGGAGTGACTTCAAGTTGAAAGGTACATACGTGTAGGTTTGTTCTGGTTGGGCATTGCAACGTGCTCACTCTGAGGCTTGCAGGGTTACACTTTATATTAACGGTGATTTCCTTTGGACTTACCTAGTTCAGTGGCCCCTGACTAGAAGAAGTTCGTGCTGCGGCAACATGGGAATTCACGGAATTCGTGCCCGGCCTTGCGCCACTCATGCCCCGCTCGTCCCACTAATGCCCTCCTTGTGCCTCACATCTTCCTAAGTCAAGTTCAGTAACTACTTGGGCTGGACGTTCCAAACGTTCTGAACGTTCTGATTCTCAGTGAGTCAGGGCTTGCAACTACCACTAATTGAACTAAGAAATGTTGTCCGCGGTCCAAAGCATTCTTGGGCTGCACGTTTCAGATTCAACTCTTTCAGATTGTTCCATAGTGTCTTTTGAGGTGCCGGTTCCATATGATTCATGATTCTCTATCTAACTCTTTCAAACTGCTCCTTAGTGTCTCTGGAGGCGCCAAAACATTCTTGGGCTGCGCATTTCAGATTCAACTCTTTCAGATTGTTCCATAGTGTCTTTTGAGGTGCTGGTTCCATATGATTCATGATTCTCTATCTAACTCTTTCAAACTGCTCCTTAGTGTCTCTGGAGGCGCCAGTTCCTCATGATGATACAGACTTTCCTCAAGTGCTTGTCACCACCCAATGTACCGCATCATAAATCTCCGGGTCATGAGATATTTAAGCTGTCTAGCATGCACTTGGCAGACTACCTTCAGAGCGCCATGTCAGACTATGAACTTCTCACCCAGTACACCGAGGATGCCTATGCCAAAGAAGATCGAATTTGCGATCGTCCGTCTTGCATGGCTAACATTAGGACTGGAGAGCCATGTTTTTATGTTGCGACCATCGAGCCAGGTCAACGTGGGCGCTATGTGTGTGAATCCTGCCACTTGCATTATGAGAATAAACGAGCTACTTCAGTGAGACCTACAGGTATGCGATCACCATCTAATTGACAAGTGGCTGGCTTACAGACTACTGACTCAGGTAATCGAACCTTACAATCACAAGGCCGCGCCCCTCCTGATCCACGTACAATACAACAATTGGTGAATGCGGCACAACGAAGATGTAAGTCAAGATTTGTGTTACTGCGGAGATTTATGATCTGATTTATCACAGCGACACCTAATCCGCCTCCTGTCATTGCTGTACCTGGTGGCTTTCGTCCTAGAGGGCCAGATATTAGAATCCCTACATCATGGCAAGGGCCGCAAGGTTCATCATCCATCCGGCATTCGTCACAACAAGGTGCCATTGGGTATTCGTCGCAACACGCACTTTATGCTGCTGAGCGTGACCGCTGGGGGAAAATGGCATACGCTTCATCTCTAGCAGAGACCATTTTACTTGAAATTACTGTGGTTCACGAAGGTGCCGGAGCGCGCAAAAAATGAGGTGTTCCTATTGGAGTATGTTTACATCTTAAAATGTGCTGTGACTTACTTACACTTCAGCTTACTAGAACATATGTGAGGGTAGGAAGGATGTTGATGCTCGAATTGACGCATCTGGGCTCATCAAGCTAGCTTTGGAGACTGTCGTCCCAAAGTTACGCAAATTCGATGGAGAATTTGTCTGGCGTGTTGAGGAGTTCATAATCCGAGATGCTGCATGGGTGGACCTATCCAATCACCCACAATTGGTTCCCTATTTCTATGATCAGTGCCTGCAGCCATCTCGCAAAGGCACCAAATCGACCTTCAAATCTAAACAATTTGCGCTGATGGTCGTTGTCCTGGAGGCCCAGTGGAATGAATACGAGAATTGGTTGGAACTTCGTGCGGAAATGGTATGTATATTTTATGTTGTCTATTTACTAGTGCCCTAACCTTAGTTTTGCGGTCCAGGAAGCTGAAGCTATCCGAACGAGCTGCACTCAGTCTAGTGAACATGCTACTGCTCACACAGCCGTCAGTTTCAATGTGCCCTCATCAGCAACAACTTCGCTCGCTGAAAATGAGCTTTTCTTACCATCCGTGGCCACCAACAATTCTGTGACGGTCTCTACCAAGAGAGCCCACCAGCGTGCTGAAAGCTCTAGCAGTCTCAGTGGTACTTCATCTCCACCTTGAAAGAAGAATCCACCTCCCACAGCTTTTCATTCACCTGATCGTGATCTGCTCAAAGAAGTCTTGAAGATCGGCGGAGGTGCCAACTTAAATGTAAAGCAAGGTATGCTCGTTCATGGATTTCTCAAATTGCATTAGCACTTACTAGTATTTTATAGTCTTTGGACTACATAGTGAAAGTGTGCAATTTCACCCAATCCCTACCCGCGATATCACCGACCTCTTGCTACACAAACAGCATCATTCATTTTTGGTGGACACGGCTGAATCTTCCATTGGACAGCTGACTATTGATACATCGACGGACGGCTTCATTGGAATTGGTGGCTTCAAGACTGCGAACGCTGGATGGCTCACGCTCACAGCTCCTCCCAAGACTGGTCTCGGATCAGTGGCTCGTCATAAGGTCGTGGTCAAACGGCCATTCGAAAAAGTATTTCCGACTGCTATGAAGGTTGGAGCTTATAAAGTTGGCCGGTATTCACTCGTCGACGAGCTACAGAAGCTATTCAGAGAGGCCAACGTCCTATACTGGTCCAAGTCTTTATTAAAGCTCACATACGACTTCATCGATCGTTCCATTGCATCCTCACCTGAACCCCCGCCGTTTGCTGTCCCACGTGTTCGATTTGTAGAAGCTGGCCTTGCATTGTGCCACCACCAAGGGGGTAGCAAGCCTGGAGCAAAGACAGGGTCAACACGGGCTGTCTTTCTCCTTGAAGAGCTCATTGAGGGCGGTGATGATATGTTTGTCAAATTCATCCACAATATGGACGCCAATCCATTGCTCGATGAATTGGACTATGGCTACGACATGGCCGAATTCTTTGTTTTCACGCAGCATGTCCAGTATGTCAAGACCGGCAAGCTCGCTTTCATATCCGACTATCAGGGTATGTCCGATTTTCGATACATTCAATCCTCAGCGCTGAATGACCCAATGTATTCAGGTAGTACAGTACTACTCACAGATCCTCAGGTCCTGACTCATCCGTATGTCTTTTTCATTTGTTCAGACTCAATACTGATGTTGGGATAGGTCCGTCAGCGATGGATGTGATATTTTTGGTGAGGGAAATATTGAGGCATCTGTCAGCAAATTTGAAGACCAGCATGCCTGCAACGAGTACTGTGGATGGTTTGGGCTGGAAACATTCGTGAAGGAGGCAAATGACGATGAAGCACTAGTTGTAGAAAATTAGATAATTACTATCACAACGCATGTAAACAGACACTTTTCCAACTTCGTCAGCACGTCTTTTCCAACTCCCGTTTATTGTCTTCAAATACTTGTTATCCCACATCTAACCAGCCTCACAAATTCAACCTTTCGACGTCTGTTTAGGTTGTGCTTGGAGCGAAGTGAGTTTTTATCTTCAAGTTCCACATTACAATGTCCTCTCTCCTCTGCTATCACCGCTTGCTATCAAATTCCCAACTCGTGATACCGCCAATTCCAACACCTCACTGTGATGCCCCTCCATCCTCTTCAACACAACACCTGTCTTCAAGTCCCACAGGCGAAGTGTCTTGTGCTCCGAGCCTGCACCCAACATTCGCAGAACGTGAGTGTGCCGATCCTCATTCAAGCAAGAGCCATGCTGATACAAGTCGTTTCCCATCGTTCGCAGGATGTGAGTGTGTTGGTCCCGTGTCGCGCTCGAGCCATGCTGATTGAAGTCATCGCCCAACGTTTGCAGTATGTGAGTGTGCCGATCCTCATTTGAGCAAGAGCCATGCTGATACAAGTTGAATCTGTCGTTCGCAGGATGTGAGTGTGTCAGTCCTGCGTCGAGCTCGAGCCAAGCTGATCCAAGTCGTTTCCCGCCATTCACAGCTTGTGAGTGTGTTGGTCCTGTGCCGAGCTCGAGCCATGCTGATCCAAGTCGTTTCCCACCATTTGCAGGTTGTCAGTGTGTCGATCCCGCTTCAAGCTTGAGCCATGCTGATCCAAGTCGTTCCCTGCCGTTCACAATGTCTCAGTAAGTTCTTTTTCACAATCATTTTTTTTCATAGTTCTAACTTAATATTTATATGTACTACCCATGGGTAAACCCTGCACGGGTGCGGGTGAGGGTACGAGCTGGCCATACCTCCCAAAAACCCGCACCCTTCGTGGATCCCTAGGACCTCTTGTATATATTCTTTGCAGAGTCTAATCAGAACTATTTTGTATATGTATGCAGACATAATTCAGATGTGCGAGTCATGTTTTCCGATATGATCCTAATAGACGCTGTCACATGACCAAGAAAACGTGGCACTTTTTCCTTGAGTGCTGACGTCACTCAAGGAAAAAGTGCCATGTGGCTTGTATCATGTGACTAAGGGATATAATTTTCTTGCGTGGGAGGTGTCAGGAGGTGTCCGGTGTCCCAATCGTGTGACTACCTCATTTGGTGCATGTCACATCGTGTAACGGAGCGCGCGCGTCCGGCTTTCCATATATACATCATGATGAAGCTCGTTAACTCTTTTTGCTACTATATAGTAGTTATCGAGGGCAGCTGAAAGGCGACTCTCACGATGATACCCAAGGCTTTTGAGACAGTCTCCTCTGCACACTTGTCTTTAGAGACTAATTATACCATCAACATATATCCGCCAGCGAGTAATGCCATAAGACTAAGTCTTGATATCCTTAGTTTTCTGAAGCAGAACGGTTTGGTGAGTACTTTGAATTATTCTGCCTTGGCGCTCAACGACCCCGGTTAAATAGGATGCCCGTGAGCTCCTGAAACTTCCTGCTGTTCGTCTGCGGGTCGTCGATGACACCCGACCTTTGAGGGATTACTTCGTTTCGTATGTCAAGATCAATTCAGCGATGCATATATGCAATGTTACACATTTACCAGCTCTTCGCATAACACATATCTACTCGCATGGCAAGTCCTCGGTCGTGCGTCTTCCGAGTGCTACACACATGTTCTCTCCAAGAACGCACGCTGCGTTGAGATCGATGTTTGGTGGTCTTCCAAGGGTCCGATTGTCACCCACGGACATACGCTTAGTCGAAGCGTCACATTCAAGGCAGTCTGCGAGGCTATTGATGAAGCAATTCATGACGAAGACTGGCCTGTTATTATCAGTCTAGAGTGCCACGTGCCGATAGCCCACCAAGGCGAACTCGTGGATATCATGAAGGATACATGGGGCAATAAGTTGGTGCAGGAACCATTGGAAGGTGTCAGCGGTGATGGTATATCTCCAAGGGATCTGAAAGGAAAAATCTTACTAATGGTATGTAGACGGTGTCGGTTTAGGTTATTTCTGACTGTCGTTTTCAGGTGGAGTATTATCCGGACGCATATTGCGAGGAGATCAGCGCAGATTCTGAGGCATTGGATCATGACTCGTGTACTAGCATCGAGTATGATGAGATTTCCGAACTTCATTATGAGATCGACCCTGTGCTTAAGATGGCGAATCATGCCCATGCAAAGATTGCAGATTCGCTGGCCGATCTGGGTTTCTACGCAAGAAGTATGAAACCGATCAAACACTGGCTTACTGAAGGCAAGTGCTCACCAGTCGCTTCATTCGTGCTTATATATCTTCCTCTAGAGTTACCAAGTCCCCCATATCCCCAAAATATCCTGATGAACATCAACGAATCGTGCATGCTATCTATGCTCCCGCACTCACTGTCAGAGTTGATCGAACATTCTCTGCATCGAATTCGACGTATCTATCCTCGTGGTGTACGTTTGAGCTCGAGTAATCTTGACCCGTTGAGGCAATGGCGCAACGGCTCCCAGATTGTGTGTCTCAATTGGCAGAACTTCGACTATGGTATGCAGCTTAATGAAGCCATGTTTGCTGGGACTCCTGGCTGGGTCGAGAAGCCAAGACGTTTGACAGGAGTCGAGCGCAATGTGAAGGTGACATGCAACGTTATCGGAATCAGTTCCTGTAAGTCATTTGGGTGAACCCTCAACTTTTTGACAATTATTCCCCTGTAGTGCCTCGCCCGAAAGAACACACGGAATTTACACCGTATGTTCATGCGGAACTTTTTAATTCTTCGAAGAACCAAGATTGGCAATCCGAGCACATTGAGTGCAAAGATGTTCCAGAGGATGGCGTAGACGTCACGTGGAATGGCTGTTTTGAATGGAAATTTGAGGAGGATGACTTGACATTTATCCGGTGAGCGAACGATAATAAAGTAATGTCAACCGGCAAGCTGATGTTGTACAGCTTACGTATCCTTTGCCATAGAGGACTCTTAAGGGATGAGGAAATGTTGGTTTTCTGTGCTCGTCTCCACGACCTTGAGGAGGGCTGGAGGTTCATTCACCTGCTATCGATGGATGGCAGACGCACTGGGGCAACGCTGCTAGTTCGATTTACAATCAGTGGAATATAGGAGACAATTAGTAGTATACAGCATAGTACGGCATATGTTAAAGTATTCAGCAGGTGGGATAACATCAAAATACAGAATGAATATACCAAGGACGCTAAGAGGAAGCGTCTCATTTAACATCCGATAGGTTACCCCCGGCTGCCCTTTCAATTGCTCCGTACACGTTCTTCAGCTTCTTGTCTCTACTACCATCCTCAGCCCCGGCTCTTCCCTTACCCCTGCTCCGCGCAGCTTTACCATCATCATCATCATCATCTTCGGCGTCATCATCACGGCTGCGTTCCACCATAAATTCAGCGATGAATGTAGCAATAGCCTGTTCTCCGATCTCGCTATATGAGCGATGGCCCCAATGCCATTCAAATGCTTGATTTTCATCTGGATTGGTTTGAGTCGCTGCAGGAGCGCGACTCCGTTTGCCGCCAGCCGCTTTCGTGTCGCCCAGCTTGATACGGTCTAGGTATCCTTGCTTCATCAGCTGGCCAAGATATGTGTCTATAGGAAGAGACTTGTGCGTAGACTGGGTGTTCATGGATATGGACTCGTTCGATGCGAGGCCGAGGCGTTTCAAGTGGGCACGTAAATCCACTGAGCGCATATTGCGTGATTTAGTTTGATGAATTACAAGATGAGCTATGGCACGCACAGTCGGTCATGGATCGTCCGCTGGCAAGAATTATTGCTAGAATGACATGCAAGACACCCAAGGCGCCGACCTGATCTGTAGTGCTCCAAGAGATTATGCATCCGTAGCTTCTTGGCATGTCGTCGTCGTCATCGCCATTTTCTTGGCTGTCAGCAATCTGTTCTTCGTACAGCCGTTCATCCGTCCGTGCTGACGCTTCTATAATGACGGGATCAAGAACAGAACGAAGAATATATGTCTTTGATCCTGCAGCCGCAGCTATGGAGAGAGAGAGAAATTGTCATGGCCATTAGGAGACATGGGAGACATGGCTGCAACATACTTTTCTTTTTTACTCCGATAGCATTGCGTGCCTCTTGAAGGTCGTCACCAGCTACGACATTATCTTGCTCCCGATAGTTTCGCGACTGAAGTTCTACGAGTTCCATCGCAAAAGTTTTCTTTAGGAGCTTCTGCGCTCTTTCAAACACGGAATTGAATGAACGCGAATTAGAGGCCAGCACTGATGTTTCTTTTCAGTATTCAAGTGGATGAGCTCTGCAAGTTCGGTGTACCCTTCTTGTTAATATCCTCTCGGCGTATAAGAGTCCGCCTCTGTTCCATAAAAAGAGCGAATCTTACGAGATCATTCGCTTTTCTGTCAAGTTGCTGAGAAGCGAATCAACGAGCACTCTCCAATACCAGGAAATCACTACCGGAGATGCGAGCCACTTACTGCGTCTGCATCATCGAGCCTTCCGTTGATGTCCATGTCTTGGTCATCATCACCTTCCGCATCTTCGTCCTCGTCCTCTTCAACAGGTGCTCTTCTGCTACCTCGAGCAGGACGTTGCGACTGAGACTGGGAGGGCTGTGGGGCCCTTTGTGACCTCTGTGTTCTGCTTGGTCCTGCGCGTGCCATTTTGGTTCTGGTTATGAGATGAGCGTGACCGGAAACGCGACGTGTGACATAATGGAAGCGTGACTGTGACCGAGCGCGTTTCACCTTCTTTTACTTAGAACCTCCAGAGTCCAGGGTCGACAAGAACTCTTCGACCAGCTGTTACCCGGTTCTACAGGAAGCTGAGAACCTATAGGCGCTTCTGCTGCATGTGTACCATCTTCCTTGAATAAAAGTTCCATATCGATAGTGCTCCGTCGAGCAGGGTCCGGCCAACATAAATGTGGCCGTAGATATCCGATGTTTTGGCCCCGGCCGCCATCATACAGCTTTCAGCTATTGCGTATCACCAGGTTCGTCAGACCTGTCTGTCGCACTTCCTAAATCCTCCTTTCGTATCACCAACTGTGGCAAACATGATGCTCCAGGTTCAGCCTTGTCGAGGCATTAATGCTATCTTGCGAAACGTGGGGCATCCTTTGAATCGACAATTTACAGACCGTTTGATAACCGCGGCTCTTCCTCCATGCGCCACTGCTTTGCAAGTTGAATTTTCAAGCACGAATGAACGTAATTAAGATGACATTGATGCTGTGTGATGTTTGATCCGGGCCTCGCATACTGCTACACCTCGAGCAGATTTCCAATCAGCTTGAGCACGTCCGAGTTCCCAGGCGAATTGCTGGACGAATTGATTGAACACGAGGTCAAGTTCCTCTGCGACTCGTTCGGGATGACGTAGTTGTATCCCATTGTGGGCGCAAAAACCTAAAATAGATTCAGATGCCCGGGACTTTCGCCTAGGCCCCAGTCCTAGTCTCCATTAAAATACTTCGCGTAAGCATCTCTTCTTCTCCGTCTCTTCACAGCTACGCACACTTGCACAGTGGGCTAATCATACATCATGGCGTTCTACTTGTGAGCTCTCGCTGTACGATCAGGATCACAATTGTGTTAATTCCCCCTGTTTTACAGCCACGGACTGCCCATAGGATGGGTGGCCATCATGCTGGCACTTTTGGCGTCAATGGGTGGTTTCATCTTTGGAGTAAGTTGCATGATTACCCTAATCATCTGTGCTGACGTACGGATGTCAGTATGACACTGGTCAGATATCAGATATCCTGTTGATGGATGATTTCCTACTTCGCTTTGCCACCTGCTCCACACCTGGAGATGTATCGACTTGTTCATTTTCCACTGTACGGGAAGGTCTCATCGTATCCCTTCTCTCCATCGGAACCCTCGTCGGCGCGCTCCTGGGTGCACCGTAAGCAGCACGCGATATCTGTACCCGCATTTCGCTAAGGTCTCTTTTAGCATTGCTGACTTTCTAGGACGTCGTTATGCCATGTCCGTGGAGTGTGTGGTGTTCACTATCGGAGTCATCATTCAGATAACTTCGAACCATGTCTGGCAGCAATTTGCTGTCGGCCGGCTTGTTAGTGGCTTGGGTGTTGGGGCACTTAGTGCTGCCGTCCCGATGGTGATTATTCTGCGGCCATTCTTTTTGCTCACGTTCTGATTTTCTTAGTATCAAGCCGAGACAGCCCCATCTCAGATCCGTGGTACTTTGACGTATGATATCCACACACCTCTTCAGTGGCATACACGGCGCTGACGTTCCTTTAGTGCAACTTATCAACTGTTCATCACGTTCGGTATCCTGGTTGCTTGTAAGATCACGATACCAAGTTCCTTGTCAGCTGTTAACCTCCTGTATAGACTGTATCTCGATTGGAACACGGGACATGTCGAATTCTGCTTCATGGCGCATCGTTGTTGGCATCGGCATCCTGTGGGCACTGATTCTCGGTATCGGCATCCTCTTCATGCCAGAGAGTCCTAGGTCGGTATTGGTAATCGATCTGGTCTCCTTCGTTTGTCTAATCATCCCTTTAGATGGCTTGCCGCGCATGACAGAATGGAGGACGCTCAGTTTTCTCTCGCGCGTTCTCGCGGTATTCCAAAGGAAGAGGCGAAGAGCCACTACATCATCACTCGCGAGGTCGAGGAAATCAAGTCTTCTGTCGAATACGAAAAGCAGATTCGTGGCGGGTGGATCGACTGCTTTAGGCCACAAAACAAGACTCTCTACCGTACTCTCCTTGGAATGAGTCTACAGAGCCTTCAACAGCTCACTGGGGCCAATTACTTCTTTTACTATGGTGCAACTGTGTTCGAAGCAGTAGGTCTCAGTGACTCGTTTGTGACTCAGATCATTCTTGGCACTGTCAACTTTGTCTGTACGTTCGGCGGAATGTATGTCCTCGAAAGGGTAAGCGACCTAGTTCGTTTATAAGTGGAGAGCGCCGTTTCTCACAGCGCATGTAGTTTGGGCGTCGCAGACCTCTGATCATTGGAGGAATCTGGCAATCAGCATGGCTTTTCGTGTTCGCCGCTGCTGGAACTGCTGTAGATCCTACGACTCATCCTGGCGTTGGGAAATGTGAGATGTCATTCTCTCTGGGTATCGTGTTGCTGACTAGGCATCTTAAGTGATGATCGTGTCGGCCTGCATGTTTATCTGGGGTTATGCGATGACCTGGGCTCCGTAAGAATCTGCATACTGGGTTTTTGTGATCGACTGACGTTCGACAGTGGTGTCTGGATTCTCATTGGAGAAACGTTCCCTACACGGACCCGTGCCAAACAAGGTAGTCTGTCGACCGCGGCAAACTGGATTTGGAATTTCCTTTTGGCGTTCTTTACGCCCTTCATCAGTAGTGCCATAAGCTACCGCTACGGTTTTGTTTTTGCGGGTATGACATCTTCCATTAACAGTACAGCACGCAACTAATTTTTATTATTATCCAGCATGCAATTTGACGGGAGCCGTGGTCGTCTATTTCTTCCTTTACGAATCATCTAATCTCTCACTAGAAAGTGTGAACATGGTAGGTGTCTTTTCTTTGCGGGTGTATCGATCTAAACCTTGATATCAGATGTATACTGACCCTAATTGCAAACCTTGGACTTCCCGCGAATGGGCTCCACCTGGGTATTCTTCGCGCCAGGATCTTATCGATCGAACCAGAGCCGCGGAGGCGCATAAACCCCTCGCGTCCAGCGCACTTGAGAAAGGCAAGATCGAGGAATCCTCTGAGCCCTCTGCGAACGGATCATAGTCGAGATGAATGACATTGAGCAGACACACTTCATTTATATGAGCTACATACTTAGTTTTCTGCGATCCCCATCGCAGATTTTAATTCCATACTTATTTTGATGCACCAGCATCCGTTCTTGACGTTTCCTGCCAGGTACACGACGCTTGACATGTGATGTGGGACCGCCGCTTGGTATCACATGGACTCAAGTAAGCCTAGCCATGGCCGAGGTAAATAACGGACATGCCTCCAGGCACATCATTCGGTTAGAGCGAGCATCGCACTGATCAGACACTTGTTGGGTTTGCAGTTCGTCGAAACCTTCCATGCTTGGAAGTACGTCTGACAATTCCAAATTCACAAATGCATGTATCGATCGGTATACATTAGGAAATTGTCAAGCGCTCGTCAATCAAACAACGAAGAAGCTTCAAGCTTCCTTGAAGCATCGTACGTACTTGTACAGGCCAATCTAGGCCTTTACTTCGCCAAATTCAAAAAGTTTACCTCCTTGACGTACACTCTGCAGTGACGGCCGATAGTATAAAGGAAACCGCGGTAATAATTTTTCTTTTATCATTTACTTCGTCACTCATTTGTCCCAACCCACCCCCACAAATTTAAAATGTTCGCTCTTTCTCTCCCCCTCGTCTCTCTCCTCGCATTCGTCGTAGGAACCAGCGCTGTACCCACCCTATCTGCTCGTGACAACAGCACTTGCAGCAGTACGGGTGCGCAGTGCAACACCGGCACCGTCTCCTGCTGTGATACCACATATAAGGTGCGTAGTTCCTTTGTAACCTAGTCCTAGTCATGTCTGACTCCTGATTAGTCCAACAGCCATGAGTTGAGCAGGATCCTAAGCGTACTGAACATTGCCCTTGACCCTGTCGAGGGCAACGTTGCAATGGGTTGCAGTCCCATCAGCGTCATTGGTACTGGTAGCGGCGCGGAGTGTAACCAGGAGCCCGTTTGCTGCAGTGGCAACACATACGTGAGTGGTTTGCTGCTCCCGCATTAGTATGCACCTTGACCGACAAAATTTGTGTCTAGTACGGCCTCATCAACATTGGTTGCTCACCGATCAACATCTACCTGTAACCGTGATACCCGAATCTCTCGCCAAGAGCGATTTATTCCACTGTCGTTGACTCTTTGTGGCGTTTGGCCTAATTTATGTTATATCGTAATTGAGGTCCCTTTGCGCGGTTTTACGTCCCACCACAGCTACTGTAATAAAATCGAAGGATGTAACCATCGAGTGTTTAGGTGTGATTCGGAGGAAGATACCAGCCAAGTAAAATGCATGCGGTGTGAGTGTGTTACAGTACTTTGGAATCATCCTATTGCATCGATCGATATGGCGAGCCTCAAATAAACGGGGGCGCCAGTTTTGGATTCCTCGCAAAGGCAAAGACCAGTCCGAGATAGCACGAATCGCCGGTCAGGATCTTCATCGCCGAATGTAGCACCCAGTCACGGACAAACCGCGGTCAAGATATATAGCAGGGGGAGAGCTTGGCCAAGAACCATATTTCTATTATCAACGGCATCGATGGAGGCCAAGATGTTCCAGGAAATTTGAGCAGCGCGAAAAACTAAGGATATCAAGACTTAGTCTGATGACATCACTTGCTGGCGGATATATGTTGATGGTAGTCTCTACAGACAAGTGTGCAGAGGAGACTGTCTCAAAAGCCTAGGGTATCATCGCGTGAGAGTCGCCTTTCAGTTGATACTAGTTTCAGATAAAGACATGTGGTGATTACTACATACAAGCATTCCGAAATCTTAAGAAGAAAGGGAGAAAGGTTTCGGAAATGTTCGCGCGCTCGCGTGGTTTTCGCGTAGCGCCATGTGGTTTTCATTTAGATACGCTTAGATACGCTTAGATTCGCCTAAGGCCACATGGTTTTCGCTTACCTCGCTTGAACTTCTATTTGGAAACTCGCGTGGTTTTCATGTATATTTCGAGCGGCGACTCAAACAACGTCACCCATTGGGAATGTTGCGCAACAACATTGGTAACTGTATGTGTACATGGCATTAAATAATGTGTTTGAGCAGGGGGACAACAGGATTTGAGTGTTTTGCCTACTGCAATTATTAGTAGTGACTGTATATGTACATAAATGGAACAACATATGATACAATTACATACAGGGAGATAACAAATGTGGTGACAGGAGATAAGTGTCACAACCCCTTAAACGAATTAACGCAGGGCAGAGACTAGGACTCAAACAACAAGATAATCACAAAGAGGATAAGGCAGCAGGTACGTCTTGGATTGCTCACTTGGAGATACAAGAGGTTTGAACTAAAGAACTACTGACTACGACGATCTACCTATATACACATATTGAAACTGAGATCGAAACTGAGTATGAACTAACTAACCAATCAGAATAATTAAAGGTATCGTACGATTCTATATATAACTATGATGTCATAACATGTGCCGCAGCCGCAGTAAGACTCTGGAACATTCCAAGAGTGTCGCGAGGCATGACGTCAACATCTTCGGCATTGTCCGATCGATCACGTGACTCTGGTAATTCTACAATAGACGCAATAATAGGAACTTCTTCAACAGTAAACATATTCTTAGGAACAGGCGCTGTGACTGGGCGCTTAAAGGACTTAGAATTAAGGAACGAATAATGGTTTGTATTTGGAACTCGTGACATTACCCCCTCTCTAGGATGAGCGTCATCGCGAATGAAACTAGGACGAATAAACTTCTTGCGCCATTCCAAAAACTCTTGGGTTTCGAACACCGATTTGTTAATTTTGCGGGGATTTAATGCCTTCGGATTTTGCCGGTGAAATTCTTGAACTTTCAACCGTGCATTCTCAAGATTTTCCTCAGGTTCCCATGTCGCTTCTTCTATCGGATATCCTTCCCACTCTACTAGGTATTGGAGTTTTGATCTGTGCAGTCTCGAGTCTAGGACTTTTCGTACTATCCATTCGGAATCGCCTTCTGATAAGATCTCTGGCGGCGGACGATGATGTGGAAGTCTTTGGACTAAGGTTGAGGGGGAATGCGGAGTGAGTAATTCTACGTGGAATACCGGATGAATCTGATATTTTGCTGGAAGGTTCAGGCGGTAATTTACATCACCCGTCTTCTCTAGCACTTCAAACGGACCAAGTCGTCGATCGGAGAGTTTCTTATTTGGTCTTTTTTGACGGATATTTTTGGCATTGAGCCAAACCAGATCTCCTTTCTTGAATTGTGGTGCGTTTTTTACTCCTCTATCGTAGAATCTCTTCATCCGCTCATTCGCCATTCGCAGCATACTTTCTGCGTCTTCCTTCGCCTCTTTCATTACATCCACTCGTTCATCAGCTGCAGGTACTTTAGAATTGGAAATTGGTGAAAAAGTAAACTCTGGATCGTATCCGTAGAGTACTTTGAATGGACTATGACCCGTTACAGTGACAGAGTTATTGTGAGCGAATTCTGCTATCGGAAGCCAGTCTACCCAATCATTTTGGCGGTAAGACGTGAACATTCTCAGATATTGCTCTACTTCTTGGTTGATTCTCTCTGTTTGTCCGTCTGTCTGAGGATGATAAGCCGTTGACATGTTCCATTTTATGCCTAGGCGTTTCGACACTTGTCCCATAAACTTGGAGACGAATTGTGTTCCTCTGTCCGATATCACCTGTTTCGGAGTTCCATGGTGTTTCCATACGTTATCTAGGAAAAGTTTCGCGATTCCTCGAGCGTCAACTTCCTTTTTCGTAGGCATGATGTGCGTTTGTTTCGTGTATCGATCAACGACAACAAAAATAGAATCGAACCCTTCGCTTTTAGGCAAATCTACTATCAAATCACAAGTGATTGATTGCCAAGGTCCCGCTGGTATTTCATTTGGTTTAAGCGGACCATGTGGTTGCGTTGGGTGAATCTTCGTTGCTCTGCATCTATCACAGCCATCTACGTAATCGTGGACATACTTCGTCATTGAAGGCCACCAATAATTTCTGGAAATCAATTCTAAGGTTTTGGCACGTCCAGGGTGTCCAGCCGGTGGAGAGTCGTGAAACAACTCCAATATCTCTCGACGGATCTCTTTATCATTTGGAACGTAAACCAGTCCTCGGAATAACACCAATCCATCCTCCACATTCCACTCTTCGACTCCTCTACGCAATTGTACCGGTGCTGCTTTTAGCGTTTGTAGCGCTTTAGCTGTTACAATCGCTCTACTTTCTTTACTTCTCACGTATCTGCCATTATGCCTTACGTTCTTAGCAGTTTAGCTTGCTTTCCTTTCTTGGTCTTACTTCCGCATTCGGCCTCTGTACTATTATCTCACCGTAGCCTTGGTCCGTGCGCATATAGTTCCCTATTTAAGCACGTGTACTTTACTTAGAAACGTCACTTCAATCTTACTAGGTTTTACCCTGAAAACTTCCTTCGCTTAAGACCACCAATCTTAAGACGTCTGAACCGATCTCTTTGTCAAAGCACTCCTTTGACTAAAGTCCACGAACCTCTTCTTATCTGAAGAGCTATACAAGACCTCAACAACGTGAACGCTCTGTCGAGCCTTTGTTGTTAAAGAACTATCCTAGTTCGTAACAAAAGATTGAAGTCAGAAGGACACCTATATCCATACGTGTCAAAGAAACTTCGAAACCAGAACAGAAAGATCCTGACTGAGCAAGACAGCTAGTGCAGGCGAAGAAAAAAGGCGACAACCTGACTTCACTCACCCCTACCTTCCAAGCCCTGAACCTTGGTACTCCTGTACCACCATTGAACATGTCGGCCTCATCCAAGACAACAGAATTCAAGATCAACCATCCTCCTACATTTGATGGCGACAGAGACAAGTCCAAGTCATTCATGCTCTCATGCAATGCTTACATTGATATCAACTCGTAAATCTATAAAACCGACACTCAGAAAGTGATCTTCATCTCCTCGTTCATGAACGAAGGAAATGCTAGGTCATGGAAAGAAGAATTCCTCGCAGAAGCCCAATTCATCGACTCAACTGGACAAAAGAAGGGCTATGGAACCTTGAAAGAGTTTAACGAAAGCTTTGACAAAGCCTTCGGACCAATTGACCCATCCGGGACCGCATTGGCACGACTCCTGGAATTAAAACAAGGCTCAGAAGGCCTGCAGACGTACATTGCAGACTTCAAAAGGTTGCTTGCCCAAGCAAAGATCAAAGAAGAACATATGATGATCTATCATTTCGAAAACGGCCTCAACGGAGGACTTCTAACCAAAATGTTCAACGCGGGAGGGGTACCCAAGAACCTCGATGACTACATCGCTGCGGTAGTCGATCTGGATAATTGCTACGCAAGATTGCTAGCTCGGAGAAGCAGGTTTCCTTCCCAACAAATCCAGAAGAAGAACGGTCGCGGAGATCAAAGATATATCCCAGCCAGAGATAGGGATGCCATGGTTATTGATCGGATCACCGACGAAGCCAAGCAAGAATACATGAGGACAGGAAAATGTTTCAACTGTCACCAGATCGGACATCGGGCACGGGAATGTCCGCAGAAGAAGAAAGCCCCCTACCCAGCAGTGAGGAAGGTAGAGGAAGAAGAAGAAGCTAGAAGAATTGATGAGGATTTTTAAACAGGAGACCTATATCGACAATAGCATCTCCAGCAAAACCTGTACGCCTGATACGAACAGTTGGTGAAAAGAAAGAACTTCGTGTCCCCATAACCCTCGTATCCCGAACGCGTCAGAAAAATGTCGAAACCACCGCAGTAATTGACTCCGGAGCATCGGGAACCTATATCTCCAAGGACTTCGTGAAGAAACATAACATTGGAACCAAGAAACTCGAAAACCCTTTTTACATTAAAACCGCCGATGGAAGCTACTTCAGCAGCGGACCAGTAGAACGGTACTGCACGCTAATCGTCCAAATCGACCAAAGGATGATGATAGGAAAATTCAACATTACCAAGTTAGGAGACAAGGACCAGATCCTACTAGGGATCCCCTGGCTTCGAGCCATGAACCCCGCTATAGACTGGACCAAACAAACGGTATCCCTTCCAGCAACAGAAAAATCTGCCGAAATCAAAAAATATGTCAAGCAAACCTCTCG